TAAGGGCCTGGGTTATTCCAACCCGACAGTTGATTGGACCAATAGTATGCTGTTTTGTTTATGTGTTATTGTTTGTGGGTTGGTACTTTGGGGGAACTCACTAAGGTTTGTGCTTACGGTTTCAGTTTATTGTTTCAGGTGCTCCAAATGTTCTCGGCAAGGCGAGGGCGTGACTGTACACATCCTTGTGTTTTAGAACTCATGGTTGATGGGATACTCTGATAACATCTATGTTTTGAAATCTATATGTAAAAGATTTCGATTTTAAGTAAATGTTTTGGAAACAACGGTTCTGTAAATACCTCTTTGATAAAAGGATCGGTTTGAAAATTTTAAATTTTACTGAAATTTTATGGATGTTACAACAACACTGTAACTCTTGCATTGTATGTTGGGTTAGGCCCATTTTATGAAAGGCTAGGCCCATTGTATGATGGCCCAGGTCCATTATTATGGGTTGGGTCCAATGTAAGGGCTAGACCGAAAGACATATATCATATGTGGTATTTTGGGGAACACACTAAGCTTTGTGCTTATAGTTTTATGGTTATGGTTTCAGGTACTTTTGGTTCGAAAGGGAAGGGTCCAACATAACGAAGCGCATCCACCTATGTTTCTATAACCTTATGATTTTTTTATTGTACTTTGAGAACTATCTTTACTCTAATATACTTTTGAATGATTGAAAAGGATAAATGATGTTTATGGTTGAATTAAAAATGAAAATTTTATCTTATGATTTCCAGGACGTTAAAAATTAGGTCAAAGGATAGTTAGGTCAGGCCTTCAGCTAACCCAGCTTAGGCCCAACTAGCAAGGAGCTGAGAGAGAGTTCCCGGGCGCAAGGTGAGTGCTAGGCCCAGGCACCAAACAGAGCTACTAGGAGAGCGACAGGCAAGGCTGGTACGCCAAATCTTGACGTTTGGGCCATGTTAATAGACCAATTGTTAACATGTCCTCCTAATCCGATGTGATTGGTGTGGGGCCAATGACATTGGATTGGATACAGTCAAATCAATAATGCATTAAAGAGATAAAAAAAATGTCCGAACCTCGACCGCGAGAGGAGTGGTGTTACATGATAAGGTAGACATGGATTAATACAGTACTGGATGGCTTGATACTCCTTTCTTCACGAGAGTATAATTTGATCGATGTGATGCAACGTAGTTGTTGCTGGTAATATGGTGCAACGCAGGGCTAATAGTAATGTTATACAGAGCTGGTTGTTGATAATATTATGCAAAGCAAGGCTATTAATGATGTTATGCAGAGTTAAGCTGCAATGTGATAATGGTGTCGATAAGTTGCTAGGCCGAGGTAGCTAAGAAGCACGACATCGCCAAACAACCTTTGAGAGTGTTAGTTGGTGCGAATGTTGTGCCAAGCTCTGAGGTTCGTAAAGCAACTGCAACATATTCAATCCATGATTACCGCCTCTAAGTCACATCTGAAAGTTATCCCTAGAAACACTATTGCGAACAACACAGGGGAGATAAGACTCTTGGCCAGCACTGGGTAGCGAGTTGTAATAGGCACCATCAAGAAAATCATGTTTGTATTGAGAGAAGCATGTTTGTATCGACCCATAGGGCTGTTAATAATCGTAGGAATTTTTTGTCATCAAATACACCCACACCCTATGACTATAGTCATCAACATTTGATAGAAAATAATATGCACCATCAAGAGAAGCATGTTTGTATCGACTCCACCTATCAATGTGAATCAAATCAAAATATTGTATTGTTTTCGAAAAACTTATTGGAAAAAGAAGTCTATGTTGTGTTGTATGAATACAAAAATCACAAAATTGACTACAAGTACCTATATTCCCTAACTACTGTCTCTTACGAAGTAGTCCCTTTGAAGTGTGTCCCAATCTTCTATGCCAAACTTCATACTTTCTTAGAACCATGATTGCCACTTTCTTTCTTTTCAACCTGCTCTAAATAGTAAAGTCCATCGGATGCCTTAGCTATCCCAATAACGTTAAGTCTTGCATGTAACATAGATGAGACTGAAACGTTAATGAAAAACATAAATCACGTTTTATCATGCTAAATAAAATTATATTGCAAAAAAATCTGGCATATTCATGACGTTTTTCAGTTTAAAATTTGTTATTTGCATATCACTAACTCCTTTAACAGTCACTAATTTTCCGTTAGGTATAGTGACATAAATGGTGTTCTTTATGTCGATCATATCTTTTAACCACTTTGTGAGATGGGTTATATGATCACTAGCACTCAAGCCAATGATCCAATCATCTTGTCTTTCAACTTTACCAATTATGTTTCTTATAGGATTGGTCCTTTGCACACTCAACTTTTTTGATCTCAACAGTTGCAACAATATTTCGTAATATTATTTAGTAAGAACAGAAGACTGTTGTGGAGCATCTCTACTAGTGGTAGCAACACGTGATTATTGTTGTTTAGGTCTGCTTGTTTGTTTCTTGGAGGTGGTTGATTTTGTCGACCACCAATAGGATAACCAACAAGCTCAAAACACATATCTATTGTGTTTCTTGATTTCTAGCATTAAGAGCACCATTTGTCATCATTCCTTCCATTCTTGTTCCTTTCTTCTTTCTTGTTGAAGTTATTCAAGAACGTTCCTTTTTCAAAAATTCTTAAACCAATTTTATTGCTAATCTGAAAAGCTACAGCTTCTCCCATAGAATTGCTAAACATGCCATTTTTTTTTTTTTTTTTTTTTTTTTGTTGTTAGTCTTGGCATAGAAGATAATACACAATGCTTAACGTGGGTAGTGGATCTATACTTCGAATATGAATCCTCAAAGATCCATATACTTCAATAAGCCCAATTAGAAAACCATATAGACGTTTATTTTCTCGTAATTTTGCAATTTCTTTCGTGATGTCATACGTACAGCCTTGGCATTTACATGATGGTGATGGGCTAATCGATTGTAATTCATCCTAGACTTCTCTTAGCTTCATGTTGTAGGCTAAGATTGTCATATTTTCTTTGCGAATCATAGTTATCGTCGTGCTTAATTCATAGGTTCTCATGGTGTTTTCTCTTATGAATCTTTCTTCTAGATACATCCATATATTGCGAGTGCTAACTGCATAGTTAACATTACTTTTAATCTCTTGGTTTATGTGTTTCATTATTTTACTCTTTCGATTACCTTAAATATTGCCATATAAGAATTTTTGTTGCCTTAATTTCTAGATGGAAGGATAACTTCATACTTATTTTTTTGTTCATCTTCTTTATAAGATGAAGCCACGATATGAGTTTTGTTTGCAAAACTAATTTTTAGTTTTTATACGAAGTTAATTGTAATGTTAATAGCAGTTAGACTATGCAAGAAGAAAATTGCTTTCAATTATAAGTTATAAAGCTACTGAGGATCGATTAATGTTAAATACACAAGGCTTCTCTAGTTTGTTTATTTTTATTAATTCTCTTACTCAGTAAAGTAAATGGTGTGTTAAGTTGTTTGTCAAATTGAACACAAACATTTGCAAACGATGAATTTCGGATATCTGACTTAATATCCGAATCAAATTCGGATATTCGAAGTTCCGGATACGGATTCAAATATCAAAAATCTACCATCCGAATTTTCGGATATCCTGTTTTGAACACCCCTAGTGGTGATGAGTTTCAACCCTCGCCATCGAGTATTGTTTAAGCAAAATTTGGTTGTTTTCCCATATTTTTGCCCTAATGCCATATAAAATTTAGAATGAGATAATCGACTTCTTTTTATTCGATTAATGGTAAAATCGCATACGTGAGAATTTTTATACTAGGATCAAAATAAGAATCCTAAACATTATCAAACTAAGATTATAACTAAAACATTTAAAAGAAAATAAAGATACGTAAAGATAATGTCAATCTCAATAACTCACTATAGTGAACAAAAAAAATTTGTCGATAAAGGTCAAAGGTAGAGATTGTAAAAAAATATATATATGTAGGTTTTACTTTTATATTATTCATGATTTATATTTTTAATCATTGTGTTTTATTGCTAATATTTAACTTGTATTATAATGTGACGTGAAGTCTATGTGGGAGCAAAAATGATGTGATAAAAACAATATCACTCCTTCTACCTTAACGGTAAGTTGAGAAAAATAGATGTCCAGGATATGTGATGTTCCATCTCTTTGATTTTGGTGACACTCCTAAATGTTTGTCACTTAGAGAGGTTAGGTGGCTCTATTTATGCTATTGAAATCAAGAACCTAAAATGTAAGCATAATAAATTAACAATTGTACGATCAACAAGTAGGTGGTACAAGTAGTTAACGTGTATTTAACTATATGAAAAATAACAAAATTAAACACTAAAAAATTACCATACCCTAAAAAAAAGTTAATTAGTAATAAAACAACATTAAATGTAAACGTAAAAAACTAATTAAGTAACAAAAATATATAAGACTATTTGAAAGTAACAGAGCAAAGTTATCGAAGCGACTATGAAACTGGTAGCATACATTCAATCAAAAAATCAAAAGTGACTTAAAACTCATAGATCATTAAAAATTTAATAAAGTAAATCGGCACATCACAAAAAGACAAATTAATAATCAAATACTACATAAAAGAAAACCTTGCAAAAGCATTCCAGCCGATTAAGTGTTTTGTAATGAGGTTATTTTCTAGAATCAAATTTACAGATTGATAGATTGATCGTTAATTCTTATATCTGGATAATGAACAAGAATATGAAATTCAGTGCTAATAGATTGGTTTGACGTATAAATTCTATTCTTTCTATTCCTATGTAACCTTTGTTAACTCCGCGCTAACTTCTTAATAAAATGATTCAGTTGTTCAAAAAAAAAGTTACGTTGAAGAATAATTATTTAGCAAACTTGCACAAAAGAGGAGGGAGGATGTTTACTTATGAGTAGACAACCTCAAGTAGTTATTTAATTCAATGTTAATTTGAAAGATGCATTGGTGTTTAAACGTCATCATTACCACCCACCACGATTGAAAAATCAAAAAATGGATCTATATTCGGCAGTAGCCATATATCCAGATGCAGGAGGAGGAGCAGCTCGAGGAGAAGATGCAGTGTAGGGAGGAATTACACCTCCGGCTCCGACTCCAGCTCCGGTTCCAGCTCCAGCTGCAGCTCCGGCTCCGGCTCCTGCTCCGGCTCCGGCTCCATTCCCTCCTCCTGCTCCAGCTCCAGCCCCTGCTCCAGCTCCAGCTCCAGCTCCATTTCCACCTCCGGCTCCGGCACCGGCGCCAGCTCCAAGTCCAGCTACGGCTCCAGGTCCCTTAGCTCCAACTCCAGCTCCTGCTCCAATTCCAGCTGCAGCTCCGATTCCATTTCCATTTGCGGATCCCCCCATGCTTATTGCTCCATTATCATTTGAATCTCCAACTGAAGCTTTGGTTTCATTTATTGTTCGAGGTCCAAAAATTATATCAAAATTGAAGCCAACTTGCCCTCTGTTGACATCATTTAACCCTATGTTTCCTGCTATACCACCATCCAACACATTTTTCCCTCTAATCTCACCACAAGTTTCTTCTCCAACTTCACACCCAAAACTTCCTCTAATCTTGCTTATCTCCTCACCATGTCCAAGGGTTGTCTTCTCCTCTCTAAGTTTTCCTCCAACAACACTTTCAATTGTACAAATAAAAAACACAAAAGATACAACAACAATAGATTTAAGAACCATGATATAGTCTTTTCTTTAATCTTCTAGTTATAACTTTGAATAAGTGAATATCACATGCATATATACAAAATGATGTGTTCCCTAATTTAATAAGATGACTGGTATAGAATTAAATTTATGGAACTTTGTATTTTAAAATTAAGCAATGATGTTATTATTTTATGTTTAATAAAACATATATTATTACACAAAACCATTCGACATTTTTATTTATTTTTATATTACTAAAAAATGTTAATTATACTCATATTATTTTATTATTATTACGATAAATGAAAAAACTAAGACTTTTTTTTTACACTACTAGAAAAAAACTCATTTTCGATGGATTGCAACTTGTATTTCATAGTGATGAATTATAAGATAGATTGTTTTTTGGATTCCGTGCACACTTTCAAACACTAACAATGACTCTTATTTATAGGAAAACTAAGGACTGAAAAAAAAAAGACTATGTAAATAATGGTGGACAAACAAACCATACCTAGCACCCCTTCCGACAACATAACTTACAAAATATATCATCTATCACAAAAAATATAGTAGAGTATTGAAACATGGTCTCCTCGTTCGGGGGGGGGGGGGGGGGGGGGGGGTCCTCTCTCTCTCACACGCCTTTGACAACATATTTTACAAAAGATGTCATCTATTACAAATATATATTAGGGTAGAGTTTTGGTGTCGACTACACTGAAACAAGGTCTCTTCCTTTAGGGGCCAATTCTCTTCGTGTCTTTTATCCTGTTCATCATCACTTCACTTTTCATCAAAAAGTCATGAAAAATCTCACAAGAACCTTGACTTGTGGGGGTCACTTTCATCTGCCAAGAATCTGATGGAGGATCTTTTGGCCACAAAGGCACAATCATAACGGAAACAATATAAAAAAAGAAAAAAAAAACCTAGTAACATCACAGTCCAAGAGACGGATCTCATGTACATCCAATCGATGCTACATAAATATTTAACCAAAGAGAGGGAAAGGAAATCATACTTTCGAAGCCTTTGATTTATTTCTTCTCACTAGTTGAACAGATGGAATATAATTCAAAGTAGGTTTACTTTTTCTGAGATTGCACCCAAGGAATCAAAACAACTTCACACTTCTATAACCGAAAACACCACAACAAATCTGATTTGTTCTTGAGGCGTGTCGAGACTACATGAAGACATGTTATATCTCTACGGGAATTTTAGGGTTTGAAGAAGAGAAAAGGGATTGCCGGGTTTTAGATATATTTTTCACTTGGAATCATCATCAGATTCTGTCCAAGGACTCCTCTATTCATTTGGTGGGATTAGGGTTCCCTTTTAGATAATTATCCAATTATCTAGTATTTATCGATAACGCAAATAATTATCCAAAAGATTTGACTTTCAAATTTTTTCACTTAACCCCTTGAAAATTTATATGTTTCGATTAATTAATTATACATTTAATTCATTAATAAACTAGATCCATTTAGTTTTCATGTGTAATTAATTATTTATTTAAAAGGGCTTCTAGCCCAACAATATCAGGTGTTTCCGTCCCTCCTTGAGGTTGAGTGTTCAAGTCACGTCTAAGTCATATGTGGATTTAGGAGTAGTTTAGGAATATATTGTATTTCCCATTAAAAAAAATTAATTACTTATTTATGTCTTTGCGTGTAACCTAAAAGGACACTTCTATTAACAATATTTTTACCAACTATTATGACAATGGGAACTATCTTCCATTACAATCTCCCCTAAGTGAGCTCTATAGGAATTAAATCCCTTTAACGAGTGAAGATGTAACATCCTAAATGTTGGATAAGGTGTCTAAGTTCGTAACTATATTTGGTATGAACTTGACCGGACCGACATGGTCCATTTGGGTTGCACTTCACCAAACAATTTGTATGGATATACTTTTGAGAATAAGATGTTTATGATCTATTAATATATTATAAGTTATAATATATTAATATGAAATCATATTATTTAATTAGCGTTGATCAAGAATTGATTTTGGAATTAATTTAGTGATCAAAAGAGGCTAGTTAAATATGGACTCTTAACTATATATGGATTGGGCTAAGATTTACTTAGGATGAGCTAAGAGTATATGGAAGTCCATAAATAGTCCATGGAGCTTTTAACCCATGGATACTAGGTAAATGAAGAGTCATGGGCATTAGGGTTTAACCCTAATCCTTCATACTATATAAAGAGGTCCTTGGTTCTAGAATTGGCAATAGTATATGTGATAAACAAGAGTAAGCGGATTTTAGTGAGCATCATATTCTCTCAAGAATTTCGAAATTGTTTTGGGTGATTTGTGACACCACTTGAGGCATCCACACTATTGATGTTAGGCTAAAAACTCCAAGCAATCAACTACAAAAGAAAGGTATGTTATTCTACTTAAAGTTTTGTATTACAAGTACCCCATAACATGCTAGTTAGGTTGTTAATATTGGAAAACAAATTTGCATGTATTTTAGAGAAAACATAGATCCAAGGTTTCTAGGGTTGCATGTAGACCATAGGAGTGTTAGAATGCTCAAAACCCAACACTAAAATATGAAGGTAAAAATGATAAAATGATAAGGGTACATACAAGAGATTCTTCATTTCAACGAAACATTTTTTTATACAAAGTATAATAGGTATAGTTCATGGGGCATTCACACTATTTTACTCTTTCGAGACAAAGAAATAATTATTTAAAAGTATAATTATTTTTACATTATGTAACCACTATGGAAGGGTAATACTTACATTTACAAGAAAAAAGCTTTTCATTGCACTAGACTTAAACCAGTTAATATAATTTTGTGAGACATACCTTCACCGTACCTACTAGAGTACATACTATAGTTCATGAATTATAACCACATTCTCGGTAAGAGAGTGTAGCATGCCAACTAGTCGCTAGCATGGTTATAATAATTCACATGGGGTATTAACAATACATTTGGTTTACGAGGCTATCATACATTCAATTAGTTTTATTAAATGGTAAAACTACATTACACTATTTTATTCAGATAAAACTACATTACACTATTTTCCAATACGATACAACTTACATTTTTGTTCTTAGAGATTAAGACATACGGTACATTTAAAAGAAAACATTAGATTCACTTATATTTTCCAGTATAGTACAACTTGCATTTTTGGAAACATAAATTTAAATGGTTTTATATATATTACTATTTTAAGTATAAGAATAATTATACATATCAGTCTTGTGGTTTCTAAGACTACAACTCATTTTAAAAGTAAATATTGAACTTTCTGGAAGCACACTCTTTCATCTTTCAAGAAAAAATGGTAGATTTTTCTCATACAAACCTCTTATGAACTCTCCAACTTAATTGTTGACACTCTTTCAAAACTACTTGTATTCTCAGGAAATGAGTAAATAGGTACCAAAAAGGGTTTTGAAGATGGGCCATAGCAGCATCATGTCTTAAAGTTTTGTCATTTATATTTTGAATCAAACAAATAGCGATTCGAATGTAATGTAAATATATAAATTTTGAATATGATGGTTGTATGGATTTGATCACTCTTATTCAATTGTTATGATATTATACAAGAAGTAATCCACCCCCAAACGTTTCTGCCGTTCTCGGTTTGGGGGTGTGGCAATATATCACATAACATCTACTATTGTAAATAACCGAATAATGGGTCGGCATTAGGACCTTTAACCCATGGATATAGTGAGGAGACTCGCCTCATAGACAAAAGAGAAACTAAAATAACACGTTGCTCCAAAATCGACTCTACTGGTTACCTTTATAAATAAAGTGTCCAAAACTCATAATACAGATCAAAAGATCCAAAATACCCGTAGGTTAAATTTTGGTCAAAATTCAAGTCAAATTGAAAAGCCAAAAGTCAACCCAGCTACTCGCAATGTCGTGGCCTCCTTGTCCATGATATGGTCGCACACTGACAAAATAGGCGGGTCTTCACTAAGTCACCACGCTATCCCGCCTCAACCATGTCATGATGACGCGTCTGGACAACTTAAACCATGATGTCATTTTTACTTCAACTACAAAAGCTCGAAGGCCTAGATCTGGTCCTTCCTATGGTCTTGATAGTTAAAGTTTTTAACTATAACCCTCAAACCCATCCATAATCCAAACTCCCAAACCCAATCACTAATGGTGACTTAATGCATCAAGATTCTCATTGAATACCAAATCTTTAGAGTTGCACCTCTAAAGTTTCCAGAATGGTTTCACACTCTAAAGTGACCTTAAAAATCGTAGCTTTATGGACTTACATGTCTAAAACATCCCCTTTTCCATTTTATGGGAAAAATTAGGTTTAATGACTAAAATCCCATGCATGACATCAAAACTTGATTATAATCCAGATCCAAGACGCTACTTGCTCATTTTGACCTGGAGATTCATAAAGTTGCAAACGTTATAAGATCCCATCATTTAAATCCATCAAAACCATGGAAAAGGGGAAACACAAGAGATCTATCAACATGGAAAGAAAAGGTTGAGTCTTGAGCACTCACTAAGGTCCAAGAGACAAGCTTAGTGAAACATCCCAAAAATACAGTACGAAAAGTTCCTTTTAAATCATTAAGATAACCATAGTTATCAAACATCATATAAGAATCATAAGTCGTGTATATCAAAAACATTTGTCATAAATATCAGTGTATAAACATCCTAGGCTAGACAAATGGTGTGTGCACTACAATCATCCCAAGCTCTTCCCTTTACTACTGGAAGTACCTGAAAACCAAAACTGAAAAGTGTAAGCACGAAGCTTAGTGAGTATCCCTAAACCACCACATACCATGCACATAATCACATAATCACATAATAACATAACATTAGGCCTTGCCTGCTACATCAGACCCTGCCCGACATCGGACCAATGTTCGACATCGGGCCCCACCCCGCATCGGACCATAGTCCGACATCAGACTGAATTCCGGTATACATATAACATATCAACAAGCATATAACATATACACATAAAATAAAACATAT